ATGCCGAGGCAGGAAGATCTCTACGAATTCAAGTCAAATCTGTTCTACATAGAGAGTTCCAGTTAGCCAGGAATACATAGTGAGACCAGCCAGCTTAGCTGAATTGGTGAGCTCCAGATTCAGCAAGACACTCTAACAAAAGAAGAAGAAGAAGAAGAAGAAGAAGAGGAGGAGGAGGAGGAGGAGGAGGAGGAGGAGGAGGAGGAGGAGGAAAGGGTGAAAGGAGGCTAAGTGATTAAAGTACTTGCCATGCAAGCATAAGGACCCTAGCATCTACATAAGTATTGGGTGGGCACAGCAGCCTACCTGTGAACCTAATGGGCAAGCTGGCTATCTGAATTGGCAAGTTCTGGGTTCAAGTGAGAGACCCTATTTAATTAGTATACAAGATGAAAAGTGACCAAAGAAGAAACATGACATCAATCTCTGGCCTCCATACACTTGCTCCTGCCCAAACATGTATACTCACATACATACACATATACAAACACATATACACCATTCATGTACAACACTCACACATGCACTTGCAAAATGAAAAAAATAGGTGAGGTAAAGAAAGATTGAGAAAGACCCATCAACCTCTTGTCTCTACACATATGTGTACGTGCACCCAAATACATATTAAATAGGCATTTGACTTTAAAAATAAAAAAATGTTTTTGTTGATAAATTTGAAAAGTTTTGCTAAATGTAAAGACTTTGAGCTGGGTCACAAAGAAAAGGTAAGGTTGGTGAAAGCTTTCCAGAGGAATGCATTAGTTTGCAGAGAAGAGACAGTAAGGACTGAACGGGGGAGGAGGAGATGTGGGGTACCCTTCTGTATATGTGTTCCTTTAATTGGTTAATGAAGTTGTTTTGGCCAGTGGCTTAGCAGAGTAAAGCCAGGCAGGAAATCTGAACAGAGATATATAGAAAGAGTAGGCAGAGTCAAGTAGAATCCACCCAGTCACCCAGGAAACAAGACATGGAGAAAATGAGGTAATGCCGCGGCCATGTGGCAATACATAGAATAATAGAAATGGGTTAATTTAAGATGTAAGAGTTAGCTAGAGGGCTGTAGAGATGGCTCAGAGGTTAAGAGCACTGGCTGCTCTTCCAGAGGTCCTGAGTTCAATTCCCAGCAACCACATGGTGGCTCATAGCCATCTGTAATGAGATCTAGTGCCCTCTTCTGGCCTGCAGGCATACATGAAGGCAGAAATGTTGTATACATAATAAATAAATAAATTAAAAAAAAAAGAGTTAGCTAGAAATATGCCTGAGCCATAGGTCAAACAGTGCTGTAATTAATATAGTTCTGTGTGATTATTCAGGTCTTGGAGGCCAGGAGATGACAGCACAGTCTCCTGTTTACAAGGAGGAAAAGCAATGTACTCTGTAGTGGACAAGTAGGAGATAAGGCTTCAGGGTAGGCTGAAGAAAGAAGATGAGGCCCAAGTTTGGGGGAACTTTGTATACCAGCATAAGAAATTTAGAAATAATGTAGCAGTTGGCTGGGAGCCATCAAATCTTTGAGTAGGAGTGTATAATAAATTATCTCAGCTGTGTTTTAAGAGAATTAATCTGGCATCAAAGTACAAAATGAATGGGGAAAAAGTCACAGAAAGAACTTTGATGATATAGACCATACTTGACACCTAAATTCTGTCATTTATTGTATAAGTAGGACACATTATTTCATCTGTCTGGGTTTCAGTTTCTTTACCTGTCAAACCAACATCATGGTTATGAGGATGGGATGGGATCATAGACAGTGCCTGGGCCAGATTTGTACTCAGTGAGTATTAAGAGACCTGTTAAACAGACTATTAAGAAATGGAAAAGCTGGATGGTGGCGGTGTACACCTCTAATCTTAGCTCTTGAGGCGGGGGCAGGCAGATCTCTGGATTCAAGGCTGGTCTTGAAAGAGAGAGAGAGAGAGAGAGAGAGAGAGAGAGAGAGAGAGAGAGAGACAGACAGAGACAGAGACAGAGACAGAGAGAGAGAGAGAGAGAGAGAGAAGGAAGGAGGGAGGAGAGAGAAGGGAGGGAGAGAGGGATAAGTAAGGAAGAAGGAAGGAAGGGAGGGAGGGAAAGAAGGAGGGAGGGAGGGAGAAGGAAGGAAGGGGAAGGAAGGAAGAAGGAAGAAAGAAAGAAGGGAAAGGAAGAGGGAAGGAAGAAAGGAAGGAAGGAAGAAGGAAGGGGAAGGAAGGAAGAGGAAAAGAAGGAAGAAGGAAGAAAGAAGGAAGAGGGAAGGAAGAAAGGAAGGAAGGAAGAAGGAAGGGGAAGGAAGGAAGAGGAAAAGAAGGAAGAAGGAAGAAAGAAAGAAGGGAAAGGAAGAAGGAAGGAAGGAAGGAAGGGAAAGGAGGGCTCAGGATCAGACTGAAGGATATAAACTTGGAGGAGCAGTAGCATGAAACCCTGGTGCTAGTTAGTTTTTTGTCAACCTGACACAAGCTGATGAAGTCATCTGGGAAGAGGGAACCTCAATCAAGAAACTGACTCCATCAGACTGACCTGTGAGCAAGTCTATAGGACATTGTCATGACTAATGATTGATGTGGGGGGCCCAGCCATTGTCATAGGGAAGCCAGAAAGCAGTGTTCCTCCATGGTCTCTGCTTCAGTACTTGCCTGTAGGTTTCTGCCCTGCTTGGCTGAGTTCCTGCCTGGCTTCCTTCAATGATGGACTGTAAATTGCGAACTGTAAGGCAATAAATCCTTTCATCTCCAAGTAGCTTTTGGTAGTGGTGTTTATCACAGCAATATAAAGAAAAGTAGGACAACACCCATGTGACTATGAGCCAGGATGATGGCAGAATTGGTATAATCCCTATGAAACACAAGGACCTCTTTAGGGGGGACATTTAACTTGAGGAGCTGGAATGTTAGACCAAAATGATTCTAGTTAACAGAGATGAGGGGCTGGTGAGACACTGGTACAGTTATCAAGCTAGACTAGTATTTTTAATAAATGAAAAAATAGAGAACAAATAATAAATATATTTACTTAATAAATAAAAATGTGTCAGGGTGGTGGAAGTGAGGGTAGTGGCAGGGCACACCTTTAATCCTATAACTCAGGAGGCAGAGGCAGGCAGATCTCTAAGTTTGAAGGCAGCCTGGTCTACAGAGTAAATTCCAGGTCAACCAAGACTACAGAGAAATCTTGTCTTGGAAAAAAATAAAAAATGAAAATGGGTTATATCAACAAGGACAAAGGGAAGAGAAAGAACAGGGAGGCTAAAGATAACGCCCAAGTATGCTTATTTTGAGGGTGTGAGAAGAGTGTCGAAGATTATGTGTTCTCTCATAAGAGAGCAGGGAGGAGGGGAGGGAGTGGGAACTTGGATTGGTATTTTTTAAAAATCTAAAAAAAGAAAGAAAGAAAAAGAACAGTACAAGAATTCAAACAGTGTAAGTTCCCTGCCTATACAAAAACACTGTTCTGAACAACTGAGCAGGTGGGAGCTGTTTTGTAGGAAGGCCTGAGGCATGACCGTTAACAAGGCAAAACCACATTAGTCATATTGCATTACTAACAGAGCTTACTGGCCATTCTCCCCAAGGATCTAGCACAAACACAATTTGCAGTGGGAAACAAAGCTCTTTAATGTCTCAAAAGAGCAAAATAAATTTTATATTAAAAAATTAGGCAGCAGATGGTACCTCAAAGAACCTTTGGAAACTGGCTGCCTAGTACAACAATTTATTCTCAGTAAAGACTGTAAACTTAAAGACATTTTAACTCTTGAAACAAATTCTTACATGCACTAATGATACATCATATTAATGAAGTCTCTAGCTCTAATTCAGCTCATATAAGGGGGAAGTCAAATTTTGCTTCAAAGCACCTTTGCCATCTGAAAACGGACATACAAATGTGTGCACCTAGAAGAAAAAACTGGCCAGAGTAGTGATCGCGATTCTCCTTTGTGGTGAGATTCTGAGTAAGCAGAATATTGTTTTTCATACATTTCAGCATCTGCCAAAATTATTTAAAAACTGCATCTGTTCTAAATATAAAAAAAACACTTTTTAATGCAAAACAAAGCAACCCATAGTCCTATCATTTATATTCACTGAGATATCAAGGGGGGAAGACAAATTACGATTTATCAAGAGATTCTGTGAAAATGACTTAATAAATGTTCACATGGATAAATTACAAAGTCAGAAAAACGAAGCAATATATGTTAGCAACTGAAAACTTTTACTATCTGAACTACATAGCCAATCTCTTGTTATTAGAGTTCTTTTCTGTGAAGAAAGTGAAGGTCATCTGATGTAGACGGCATGAAAATGGCAGGCAAATACACAAGGACACATCAGATACACTTTCTCTGATGGAAAGCTTTCTCCCAGTCTGAGGCATGGCCATTAATGTGGGATAACTACTTTAGTTGTACTGAAATACCAATAATGGTGCTTCCAAACCCTCTGAAAATGGGCTGTCTACTAAGACTGTTTGCTCTCAATAGAGACTGTATGCTTTATACTCATTGTATATTTTAACTCATGGAATGAACCATTGTCTGTGCTAATAGAATAATATTAATGGAGTCTAATTCAGCTTATGCAAGAAGAGGCAGTCGAATTATGTACAGTACACACAAGAGATTCTGTAGCTGGGAAGTTGCTTGCTTGGGAAGCCTAGAAGGCTCAGGGTGCTAGGAGCAATGGATACAGGTGAATCACCAGTCTCTGACTAAGGAAATAAATTACTTTAACAATCAGTGTCCAGAAGCCTGTGGGAATGGATAATGTAGTTTAGGGTAAATGAAACTGAATTCCTTGAGCCTACAGCTTGTGTTTTGAAAGGTGCTGGGTTACACCTGTATAACACAGGGTACTTAGGGCAGTGAGAAAGAAAGAAAAAATAAATCAGCCAGTAAATACTGGACTTGTTTTGAATTTGTGTTTTCACAATTACTTTGTCTTCATTATACCCCAGATTGGCTATGGCAGCAAAAACATCTGATGTCTTGGTTATTTTATGATCACGGAAACGATGCTGACCTGTTTGGATCCTGGTGTCAATCTCAGGACTGACCTCTGATGCACAGCCCTCATCTGTCACACAGTTTCTCATTGTCTTCTCCCTAGAGCTGTCACAGACAAAGATTTATTTAAACCAGAAGAACGCTGCTTCTGATATCACCCGTCTATGCTGCTTAGAAAATATTAGTCCCCCCAAAATATCTTCCCCCAAATGCTCTAGGACATATTAATATAACTATGCTTTACAGATATCTCAGTAGAGGCCACAATTTTTTAAGTCATAATATTTATAATGAAAACTATGATAAAAAAAAGAACACCAACCTTTAAGTGGGAAAGTTGGAAAATTCAGAATTTTCTGTTTTTTTTTTAACTGAAACTTAAGTCTAAAGAATAGAGAGGCTATGGTTTTTAAAATGAAAATAGCATAGTTAAGTCACATGGTTCTGCTAGCACAAATTATAGAAGAGGCTACTGTGGCTGTTAGGTAGAAAAACAGATTAAAGAGGGAAGTGTTGTACTTGAGGTAGTTATTTGGGAAATACAGGAAATGTAGCCCATGTGCAGACTCTTGATACCCATCATTTTATTTAATCATAAAAGCCCCTCTACAGGGCTTGGCAGGTAAGAGCAGAGAACCCAGATTCAATTTCCAACAACCACATCACAACTGTTTGTAACTCCAGTTCCTGGGGATCTGCCACCCTTACATGGACATACATTCAGGCAAACCACTAATATATCCAAAATAAATCATTAAAATAATTTTTAAAAATCCCCTCTACTATTATCCCCCTTTTATAGGTAGGTAAACTGAGACTCAGAGAGCCTTTAAAAACTGTCTAGGGCTGGAGAGATGGCTCAGTGGTTAAGAGCATTGCCTGCTCTTCCAAAGGTCCTGAGTTCAATTCCCGGCAACCACATGGTGACTCACAACCATCTGTAATGAGATCTGGTGCCCTCTTCTGGCCTTCAGTCATACACGCAGGAAGAATATTGTATACATAATAAATAAATTAAAAAAAAAAAGAACTGTCTAATATACTGGGGACCATATAAGACATTGTGATATTGGACAAAGTAGAATATCTTAACCTCTGGTTTAGCAGTCACTTAAAGGTAACTTTAACAGATTAATGATGGCATTCTTTATCTAAGTAGAAATTTCACTCAGTATATATTGATTTATCTCTATTTTATTATAGTAAACAGGAAATTACAATATATTTAAAATAGGATTTGGTTTACTATATATTATATATAAATATTTTTAGATTCCATTTATGGTTACAGTAAGATAAATTTTATTTTTATGCAAATTATCCTCAATAAACATTACATTTAAAAATATGGAGACAAAGAAAAAATAGAAAATTAAGGATCCTTTCTGAAGGTTATACCATGAAACAAAGATCAGAACAAAGATAGCTAAAATAATCAGTCAGTGGTGGCATACGCCTTTAATTCCAGCACTTGGGAGGCAGAAGCAGGCAGATCTCTGTGCGTTCGAGGCCAGCCTGGTTTACAAAGCAAGTTCCAGCAGAGTCAAGACTGTTATACAGAGAAACCCTGTCTTACAAACCAAACCAAACCAAATAAATAAATAAATAAATAATAAAAAATAAAGCTAAAATCGCTTGGAAAAGAAGATGTCAGATCAGCAGGTATTGGCTTCATTTATTCATCATCATCGTCACCATTACTGTGTATGCATAATGTGTATGCTTGGGCAAGTATGCCACTGTGTGTGTATAGAGGTTAAAAGACAACTGTGTGGAGCTGCTTCTCTCCTCCCATCTTTATAGAAGTTCCAGAGATCAAATGCAGGTCACCAGACTTGCATAGCAAGCACCTTTAGACCCCATGAGCCATCTGATCAGTCCCAGTTTTCCTCATTAAACAAAGTACTTTTTTTAAAACAACTTCTGTAAACCAGTGATTGCTATAGGCACTAAAGATACTACAATAAACAAGGTCCTAATCTCATTAGTTTCATGAGTTTATATTCTAATTAGGGGGAAGAAAATAAGTAGTAAACAATATGGGCTGGGGGATAAGCTCAGGGGTAGAGGACGTGCCTAAGATGCCAAAGGACCTGGGTTCAATCCTCAATACTAAAGAATAATAAAGGTAAATAGATAAGTAACAGACTTATTACAACGAAGAATAGAAAAATAACGTGGATATATGCTTATGATATCTTGTTAAACACCATATATATAGGAAGCAAAATACTATAAAGTCAGATATATATACATACACATATTACACACACAAATCACACATGTACATGTAACACACACATATATCTAATAATATTACTGTATTTACTGTGTGTGTGTTCATGTGAGTGTATATTTGTGGTGGCCAGAAACTGATGTCAGTTATCTTCCTTGATTGCTCTCCATCTATTTGTTTTTAGGCTTAGTCCTCCATGGAACCTGAGCACATCTATTTGCTGGCTAGCCGGCCAGTGAGCCCCAGACCCTTTGGTCTCTGTTGCTTCGGCACTGGGGTTACAGACATGTGCCACTATGCCTGTTTTCTATTTTTATTGTTATTGTTTTTGTTGCTGTTGTTAATATGGATTCTGGGACTCCAAACTAATGTCCTCATGTTTGTGCAGCAGGAACTTTTCCCTGTGTAAATCACCTCCCCAGTCACAAAGAAATATAACTAGTATTTATTTCTAGGTGGTGAGAAATACATTAGACCAAATGAACAGACTGATAAATGTACTCATGCGTATTTAGAATTCACAGAAAAGTATTATAAATAGTTAACTCTCAGTAGCAAAATAGAGTAATTTCGACTTTTTAAAAATTATTTACATCATGGGGCTGGAGAGATGGTTCAGCAGTTAAGAGCACTGGCTGCTCTTCCAGAGGACCTGAGTTCAATTCCCAACAACCATTTGGTGGCTCACAGCCATCTATAGTGGGATTTGATGCCCTCTTCTGGCACACAGGCATACATGCAGATAGAACCTCATTATATAAAACAAATAAATAAATAAAAAAAATTATTTACACCATGAATAATTTCTATCAAATTAAAAAACCTAATGTAGCTAATTAAAAAGTCTCAAATTACATGTATTCATTTCAATGTGGTATGTACATTCATGCGTGTGCCACAGCATCTGTATGGAAATCAGAAGACAACTTTCAGGAGCCAGTTCTTCCTTTTTACCATGCGAGTCCCAGGCACTGAACTCAGGTTGCCAGGCTTGGTAGAAGGTACATTTACTAATTAAGCTATCTCACCAGCCCTAGTAAGGCTAACTCTCAAAAGTCAGGGGTTAGTGTAGCAGATACATCTTCCTTTAGGAGGACTTTATAACAAGAAGTGGAAAACTCTATATCTAGATACTTGAGAGCCTTGAGGTCTCTACTCTGTAGAGTTTTTGTTTTGTTAGAAATTTGCCTATGGTGATGAAATTCTAGTTCAATAAGAAAAGACCTTGCATGGATGGTAATTCTGCCAAGAGAAGGTAGAAATCTTGCAGTGTCCCTGTTGATGCATTGTGACAATGATAGAGAATTTACAGCAATTATATCCAAAAGAAACTACAGTTCAAGAATAAAGAGGGCTTGATTCTCCTCCCTATGAGCCTGTTTGTAAATAAACAATTTTATTCCAGATCTGAGAATTCTGCTAGAAAATAAGGAAAGAAAACTAAAAACTCCCTTCAACAAAACTAAAAAAAAAAAAAATTAAGAGATTTTTTTTCTTACCTTTTTTCTACCTCTAAAAGGAAATTTTCCCTGTTTCCCAGCTGGCTGAAATGCAGCTTGGCAGCTTTCCTCTCACTATCACGCACGGCTCGGTCATCTGCAGGCAAAAACCGGGGTCTGAGCATTTTTCTTTTTTAGAGTCACTAGTGGTAGGTCAGAAAACCATATTTACAGAGGAAAACTGAAGACCAGACTCATCTTCATGCATCAGAGACAAGTCACAACACAATTCTATTATGTTGTCACTAGAGCAAGCAGTAACTCAGATGTCATAGCAACAACTGCTACGCAGGTCAACTGCTCCTTTAGGAAAGCAAAGTCTGGACAACAAGTAATCTCATATTAAGACCAAATGTCTCATTTTTCTGAAATATTTTTTAACTTAGTTTCCCAACAATAACTTCTCCAGGACCATTTGAAATTAAATTTTCTATCAATAGGAAATATATATTAAGCAATGAAATTATAAGGAAATAAATGCAGATTAGCACATTCTCAGGAATAGCTTCTGTTCCTGGTAAACTAGCACTGGACTTCTTTACTACTATAGTTGATAAAACTGGGCACCTGGAAAAATAAGTCTCAGCTTAGAAATGTTCTGTTGAGGAGGAAGTAGTGGAGAGACCATCAGCCCAACAAAACTAAAGGTGGAAGTGACTGATAAAATCATAGATGGTCATTCAGTAGACAATAGAAGTACTTGTCACACATCCTGCCAACACAGAATTCCATAAATGTTGACTGATAAACAAATGTCTCCTGCCAGTGCACACTTTGGCTCAACTTCCAAAGGTTAAGAGGCAGTTTACTTCAGTCAAGTTCTTGAAGGAATGCAAGAGGAGGGAGGATCTCACCCAGTTTTTCCAGAGTTTGCAGCGTGTACACGGCAAAAAGCCTGTAATCTGTATCTTTCCTTACAACAGGATTGAGTCTCAAATCTAGTTCTTTGAGGTAGGGCAAGGGTTGTAGTCGGGACACCTCCACTAATGAAGGAATGTTGTTATAATATAAGTTCAGATCTTGGAGTGAACATAAATACTGAATGCCCTGAAAGAAAAAAAAGTACATTAGGCAACTTCACATTACTGGTTTTTATAAACACTGTTCAACTCAAATCTGTCTCTTTGTGTGTGTGTGTGTGTGTGTGTGTGTGTGTGTGTGTGTAGGTCAAAGGATGACTTAAGAATCTTTCTCAAATTGCTCACTACCTTTTTTTTTAATTGTTGTTATTTGTTTTTGAGATAGTCTTACCGTCTAGCTCCTGGAACTCTGTTCTGGGTCTCACTATATAGGCCTGAAATTCATAGAGCTCCTCTGGTCTCTACTTCCTAAGTGCTAGAATTAAAGGCACGTGCCACTATACCTGGCACTACTTTCTTTTTTGAGACAGAATGTGCCATTGAACCTGGAGTTCACTGATTGGTCAACAAGCTCCAGGGATCATCCTATCTTTGCTTCACCAGACTTTGACTTTTTATGGGTTCTGGGATCTAGAATGAAGACGTCATGTTTACCCAGCATGCACTTTACCAGCTGAGCCCTTCTTCCTACTTCTTGTATTACCCTCTGCTCCCCTGATGTGGACACTTTTTGGTTTTTATTGAGATCACCATTTCTTGATCTTCCTAGAAAAGAATTCACAGTGACAAAACAGGCAAGTGTTTTCCATGTGTCCTGTGCACCATCATCACCTGAATCTCTGGGTGTGTCCTAAGCCCACCCAGACTTCTTCTCAGAATGGGGACTAAGAATCTGAATGTTTACAAGTCAGAATCTTAATTTTTTTTACGTGCATTGGAATGTGTACTATTGCACTTGGCAATGCAAGTTTCATAAAGTTTTCCCTGAGAACAAAAAATAAATTTTACCTAATATTTCATAAGAAAAAAATTTAAGCAAAAAGGTGAAAGAATTTTATAGAAAGTAATAAAATGTAGTTGGGGAATAGAAAAAAGAAGATCCTATACTTCCCAGGCTAGCGTTTTCTCTCTTATTTCTTCTCATGAGATTATGAATTGAGTTGATCTGGCTGATCATGGACTATGGAACCCACCTTTAGGCTAGTGATCAAATTTCTTGATAAATCTAAGGATCGGAGATTTTTGAAATTTCTGAAGGCATCACCAATAGAATGGATTTTCCCAACATATGATCCCTGCAATGAAAGAGACTCCACCAGTTCTGAAAAGAGATCATCAATAGATGTATTAGGATCTCTAGCTAGATAAACAGCAGTCAGTGAAAACAGGCTCTCTCCTTTCCCGTAGGAATATGTGAAAGGTCTTCCACCCACAGCTCAGAAGATTAGATCTTTTGCCTTGTGTGCCAGTTGGGATATGATGCCTGTCCATTTGGAAAAATAACAATTGGCTCCAGGTAAAACTTTAAATATCAGCTTTTTAAGCCAGTTGGTAGTGGCGCATGCCTTCAATCCCAGCACTTGGGAGGCAGAGGCAGGCAGATCTCTGTGAGTTCGAGGGCAACCTGGTCTACAAGAGCTAGTTCCAGGACAGGCCCCAAAGCTACAGAGAAACCCTGTCTCGAAACAAACAAACAAACAAACAAAAATCAGCTCTTTAAAAAAATAATGATACGGTCAAGACTGTGATAAGAAATCACAGTATAACAGCGGCTGGATTCCCTAATTGCCTGGAAGATGTAGTGCAATCCCTAAAAGTTCTCAAAACAAAATTTACTGATTTATCTGGATTTTCGATGGCTTTGGTCTGTTTAGTTTAATTTTGAGGCTTGGTCTTACTAGGTCCCAAGCTGTCCTCAAATTTTCAGTAGTCTTGCTGTATCAGCTTCCTGAACACTGGGATTACAGGCATAAGCCAACTACGCTTGCAAAACAAAATTTGAAAAGAACTGTTAGAATTCAGGTTTTTAAAAAATATTCTCAGGCCGGGTGGTGGTGGGCACAGCTTTAATCCCAGCACTCCGGAGGCAGAGGCAGGTGGATCTCTGTGAGTTCAGGGCCAGCCTGGTCTACAGAAGGAGTTCCAGGACAGTCAGGGCAATACAGAGAAACCCTAGCTCGAAAAACAACAACAACAAACAAACAAAAAACAACAGCAACAGAAATGTTCTCAGAATTTTGCAAAGATACATACCATATGGAGCAAGATGTCAATTTTAGAGAGGTTTTATGATAAAAGCAAGCAAGGTGAAACTGTCAAGAGTTCCTCAGGTGAAGCTAGAATCGGGCCTCCTAAATAACACTCATCAACAAAAAGAATGACTTAACTTCCCGGTGCACTGGTCCCTTATTGGTAAATTGAAGGAGGTAATAGTGCTTAACTCATAGATGTATTATTAAGTTAATGCATGTCTAAACCTTAGAACAGTACCCATGGGAGTGGGAATACAGCTCAATTACACAGCATTTGCCAAGTGCCCTGTCCCTAAAATGCACGTGGCTCATGAGTGTTATCAAAGTATCAATTAATGTTTTATGTAATAACCAAAAAGAACCGCATGTTTTTTTCAGCATCTTACATGTAAAATCTTCCAGACATTGAGGGGGCTATTAGAGAGATGACTCAGCAGTTAAGAGCTCTGGCTGCTCTTTCAGAAGACAGGGTTCAGTTTCCAGCAACCACATGGTGGCTCTCGATCATGAGTAACACCAGTTCCAGTGGATCTAATGCCCTCTACTTATCTCTGCAGGCACCAGGCATGTACACGGTGGTACATTTACAAACATGTAGGCGGTTGGGTGTGTTGGCGCATGGCTTTAATCCCAGCTCTCTGGAGGCAGAGCAGGTGGGTCTCTGAGTTTGAGGCCAGTTTGGTCTACAACACAAGTTCCAGGACAGCCAGGGCTACACAGAGAAACCCTGTCTTGAAAAAAATTAAAACAAAGCAAAAACATGCAGGCAAAAAAATTATACACATAAAATAAAATAAATCCAAAAACAATATTGGAGGGTATGATTGTGTGTGTGATTAATTAAAGTCAACTAGACTTTGAAGAGGATTGAAAATAAATGAATCTTGTCGGGCGGTGGTGGCGCATGCCTTTAATCCCAGTAATTGGGAGGTAGAGGCAGGAGGATCTCTGTGAGTTCGAGGTCAGCCTGGTCTACAGAGCTAGTTCCAGGATGGCTCCAAAGCTACAGAGAAACCCTGTCTTGGAAAAACAAAACAAAACAAAACAAACAAGCAAACAAAAATCTCAGATTTTTCAAAACGAACTTTAGCAGATTTGGTAGGCCAAACTGAGAATTGCAACCAAAACTGAAAAGGGGTTCTACAAGATCCAACTTGTAGGCAAATGCCAGAGAACTTAATTGAAACAAAAATTTAAAAGTTCTGGAGCAGTTTGGGCCTTGAAATTGTTTGTTTGTTTGTTTTTGTGTTGAGGCAGGGTCTCACTATATAGTCCTGGCTGGCCTGTAATTCATTATATATACCAGGTGGGCCTCAAACTCAGAGATCCATCTGCCTCTGCCTCTTGAATGCTGGGATTAAAGATGTGCCACCATGCCTAGCCCTTATAAACTTTTAAAAGCCATAAACTGAAAATCTCATTCGAGACTTAAGTCATATTTTGTAGAACCTGGTACAAGCAGAATCTGGATAGAATACAACAGTTGCAGACACAAGTCTGGAAGGGAAACAGACCAATCCCCAACCCCCGGGAAGGTGGCACTACGGGCATGTTTTCCTGTACTTTCTGAATACAACAGAAGGGGGAGCTCCAAATCTCTTCTTCCCCCATGTGAGTTCCAAAGATTAAACTCAGGTTATCAAGGTTTGTGGCAAGCACCTTTACCCATGGAACGATCTTACAATCCTCTAGCTGCTTTTTTAATTAAACATAATTCTTAAAGATTAATTTTTTATGTGCATTGGTGTTTTGCCTATATGTATGTCTGTGTGAGGATGCCAGAATCCCTGGAACTAGAGTCACAGACAGTTGTCAGCTGCCACGTGGATCCTTTGGAATCCATGGGAATCCATGCTGGGTCCTTTGGAAGATAAGCCAGTGTTCTTAACTGCTCAGTCATCTCTCTAGCTGAAATATCATTTTTATTAGGAAAAATATCTTAGCAAATTACACTAATCTTGACTAGATACCTAGCAGACTTTACTTCTTTTTTTATTTTTATTTTTTTTGAGATAGGGTCCCATGTAGCCCAGGCTAGTCCCAGACAAATATATAGTGAAGACCGGCCTTGAATTCCTGATCATCCTGCTTCTAGCTCCTGAGTGCTGGAATTATAGTTGTGAGACAACATGCCTGACAGTAAACATTGTGTTAAAAATAAAGTAAGCCTGTCACTTCAGAAAAGCAACTGGTAGTTACTGCTATCTATGATAACATTTCAGATGCCAATATACATACATACACATACACATATATAGAAATTATATTATATATATTCATATATATATATATGAATGAAAAGTCATATATATGTATATATAGAATTTCAGGTCAGGGCTGGAGATGTAACTCAGTGGTAGAACAAAGGCTCAGCATGCACATGGTTCTAGGTTTAATACCTATCACTCTTTTCCTCAAAATAGAATTCTGAAACAATTCTATCTGCCCACCATGAATTAGATGCTTCCCAGTACTTAGGCTTTTCTAATGAGATAGTGGTAATACTTAAAAAGATCTGAGCTGGAGAGAAGACTTAGTAGCTGAGAGCACTTGTGCTTCTTGTATGGGATCTGAGTTTGATTTCCAGCACTCACACAACCATCTTATTTCCAGTTCTAGGGGATCCAACACCCTCCTCTGACCTCTACTGGCACCAGGCATATACAGACATGCCAGCAAAACAAAGATCTCCTTTTTTATATGTTTGTGGTGGTTTGAATGGTCACTATAGGCTCATTGAGTGCTTAGTCACAAGGGAATAGCACTATTTGAAAGGATTAGGAGTTGTGGCCTTGTTAGAAGAAGTGTGTCATTGGCTTTCAAAATCCCATGCTAGGCCCAGAGTTTCTCTCTCAGCCTTCAGATCAGAATGTAGCTCTCAACTACAGCTTCAGTTCAGCCATGTTCCCTGCCATGATGATAATGAAATAAACCGCTTTTAAACTATGAGCCAGTCCCCATCTAAATGCTTTCTTTTCTAAGAGTTGCCTTGGTCATGGTGTGTCTTCACCGCAATAGAACAGGGACTAAGACAATATTGTATAATGAAAGCTGCCACTGTTTAAAAGATCTACATAACTCAGTGAATCAATATTTCTAAATGATCAGTACATGATGCTTCAAAAATCATGCATAGGTAAAAGATACATTCAAAGACAATATACACCAGTGGGTTTTACTATAAAAGAGTGAAAACAAAAGTTTATTTATAAACTAGTCCCTCTGAGTGTGGTTGACAGTTGCATGGCTGGGGCATCGGCAGTGGCACCAGGACTTATCCCGACTGCTTGTACTAGCTTTTTGGGAACCCATTCTCTTTGGATGGATGCCTTGCTCAGCCTAGATATAGTAGGGAGGGCCTTGGACCTTCCCCAAAGCAATGTGCCTTACCCTCTCTGAAGAGTGGATGGGGTGGAGTGGGGGAGTACGTGGAGGGACTAGGAGGAGGGGAGGGAGTGGGAACTTGGATAGGTATGTATAATGAAAAAAGATAGTTTGTTTTCTTTTTTAAATAAAAAAGAAAAAAGTTTATTTATAGAATTTTGGATTCCACACACAACTAAAATTCAAGAAACTACAAATTTATCAGTTTTCATGTTTTATCAAAGAAGAAAAATATTCATAATCCTTTTAAAGGCTATAAGACTGACTGCTCATTCAGAGGACTTGAGTTCAATTCCAAGCACCCACATGGCAGCTGAAAACTGTCTGTAACTGCAGTTCTAGGGAACTCAACACCCTTTACACAGACATACATGCAGGCAAAACACCAATGCACATAAAATAAAAATAAATTATAAAAAGGAACTCAACAGCCGGGCGGTGGTGGCGCACGCCTTTAATCCCAGCACTCGGGAGGTAGAGGCGGGCGGATCTTTGTGAGTTCGAGGCCAGCCTGGTCTACAAGAGCTAGTTCCAGGACAGGCACCAAAGCTACAGAGAAACCCTGTCTCGAAAAACCAAAAAAAAAAAAAGGAACTCAACACCCCTCACACAGACATACATGCAGGCAAAACACCAATGCACATAAAATAAAAATAAATTTTAAAAAGGAATTCAACACCCCTCA